CAAAGTGCTAGGACTACAGACGTGAGCCACCTCGCCCAGCCATAATCTATCAATTTAATCTCAATAATACACTCAACTAGATTTCCTGGGAGAGGGGGGAACTTGGCAGATTCTTAAATTCATCTAGAAGAATTAATGTAGATGCAGGGAGAAAATTATGAAAAAGGTGAGTAAAGAGAGTGGACCTTCCCTCTTAGACATTAAGAATATCGCATAGCTATCGTAATTCAAGCAATTTGGTACTAGCATTAAAAAAGACCAATCAATGGGAGGAGAGTACAAAAACAGACCCGAGAATACAAAGAAATGTTATTATATGATGAAGGGAACTGTAGTGAATTCTTATTATTTTCTGCTGCCTCAGCATCTGTTTTAAAATAAGTTGGACTTTCTCATACCAGAAGCCGGGCTTAGTCACCCTTGACACAGTTTCCAGTTTTCCACCTCCCAGTTCTTCGGAGTGACCAATCCAAATACCTGCCCAACACTTACTAGAAGCTCATCAGATGCTGAGCACCATTCTCAATGCTGTACACATACGAACTTTCTCAATCTTCCCAACACCCTCTAACATTTTTTAACAATGTTAAAAAAAATCGATAGATTAAATTGCACGAAATGACCGTGTGTTATTATTGTTGTTGTTAACTCATTCTCCAAATGGCTAAATAGTTTTCCCAGCACTAGTTATTGAATAATCTGTCCTTTTCTCATTTTATTTGAGAGGTTCTTGTGATTTCTTTTACAGGTGAGGAAAATAAGACACAAGTGATTTGGCTAAACCACACAGGTAGTAAGTGGCAGAGCCAGGATTCTATTAAGAATTAAAATTTAAATATTAAAAGGCAAAAAAAAATAGCCATTTAAAAGCAACAGATAACTTAAGAAAATATCTTACGATCTTGAGGTAGCAAAGGCCTTTTGATGTGAAACCAAAAACCACAGTGGAAAAGATCAGGAAATCTAACCCTTAAACATATATTTTGCATTAAAAACAAAACAAAAAAAGCACTGGCTGGCACGGAGTTTGAGGTTGCAATGAGCTGTGATGATGCCACCGCACTCTAGCCCAGGCAACAGAGCAAGACCCTGTCTCAAAAAAAAAAAAAAAAAAAGTGGCTGCTTAAGAGTTTTATTAAGCAAAATAAGGTGCAAGAAAAGACTATGGAAGTAAGCATCTGCAACTCTCAAAAATTGCCGGTGGGAATGCAGAATAGTACAGCCACTTTGGAAAACAGTTTGGTAGTTTGTTATAAAGTTAAAAATAAACTCACCATATGACCAAGCAATCCCACTCTTAAATCATTACCAGATAAATAAAAAAAACATTTGACCCTACGAAGTCCTGTACATGAGCGTTTATAGCAGTTTTGTTCACAATCACCCAAAACTACAAATAATCCCAGTGGCCATCAACAAGTGAATGGATAAGCGCATTGTGGTACATCATACAGTAACATACTACTCGGCTATAAAAAGAAATAAAGTACTGATGTGCTCAACAACATGGGTGCATCTCAAAAGCATTACGCTGAGTAAAAGATGCCAGACTTAAAGTTTACATGTTATAACATTCTGGAAAAGGTTAAACTGCAGGGATGGAACACATCCATCGATGGCTGCCAAGGGCTGGATGTTGTGGGAGAAGATTGACTACAAAGGGGCCCAAGGGAACTTTCTGGAGTGATGGAAATGCTATATAGATTGTAGTGTCAGTTCTAAGACTGTACACATGTGTCAAAACTCATTGACCTGTAGAGTTAAAAGGGGTGAGTTTTCTGAGTGTAAATTATACCTCAATCAACCCAACTTTACAAATAAAACACTCTCCAACCATTAAAGATTATTTCTTCTTGTGTTTGGTGAAGTGAAAATATGTACGGAATATATTAAGTGGGAAAGTTGTATGACCACTTCAAAGAGATATTTGTACAGCCACGTTCATAATAACATTACTCACAGTAGCCAAAAGGTGAAAATAACCCCTAATAGTCATCAACTGATGAATGGACGAACAAAATGTGGCAAAATGTGGTATATGCACACAATGGAATACTATTCAGCCTCAAAAAGGAAGGAAATTCTGACACATGCTACCACGTGGCTGAACCCTGAGGACATTGTGCTGAGTGAAATAAGCCAGTCACAAAAATCTTACACTGTAAGATTCTCCTTAGATGAGGTACCTGGAGTTGTCATACTCATGGAGACAGAGAGCAGAATGGGGGTGGCCAGGGACAAAAGGAGAGGAGAAAGGGGAGTAGTTGTTTAATAGGTAAACAGTTTCAGTTTTGCAAGATGAAAAGCATTCTGGAAATTGTACAACAGTGTGGATGTATTTAACACCAGTAAACTGCACACTTCAAAACAGTTAAGATGATAAAGTTTATATTATATGCAATTTACCACAATTTTCTTCAAAGGCAGTATTTTCACGTTATGTTGGCGGCAGCAGGTGCGGCAGTGCGCCAGCGCTCCGGTGTGCATGAGGGAGGCTGCTCACTCTGGCTGGGGGTGATTTTCACCTTCTTCATCTCGTAGCTTAGAGTTTTGCTTTGCTTTTTTTTTTGAAATGAGCATAGCATGTATTATAATTGTCAGGGTTGATTTTTTAGAGGTTTTGCCCTGGTTCTCTGGCTCCTGGCTTGCAAGAATTACAAGCAGGGCCAGTGGGGAGTGATGACAGACGCTAGCATTTCCACACAAGCAGCTTTTATTGAAGGCTTGTCAGCACAGGATAGAAAGCCAAAGTACATTTCCTGAAGGGAAATGGGTCTATCTCCACGAGTGGAGAAGACCCTGGGGCCTTACCACACTTCTATTTTTATCTCTGCACCTTATGATATGCTAAATGGCGCATGGAATATTCCTTACCTTCCTGGGAATAGAGTGGAGAGTTCTTAGAACTAAGGGCCCTCCCCATTTTTATCCTTAGTGGGTAACTTCCAGGGGTTGCCATGACAATTATAAACTGTCCTGGAACAGATGGGTGTGATTTTTACTATGTTGATGTATGTTAATGGGACAAGGTCATCTTTGGACCTGAGCTCCTAGTTTCTGCGCATGCTCCTGGCCTGCAACAGTCCCTGACCTCAAGTTCCTGCTGTTGTGGGTTAGGTTCTAAATGCTAATTGGTCTCCTCCTTTTTGCCCCCCTCCTCTTTTCCTGTGGTTAATGCTGCCCACCTGCACCTGTCCCTAACTTCATCTATTGCATCTCTGTTTACTGTCTGTCTCCCTGTGAACGTGCAGACACCTTGACAACAGGCGCACCGCCTGTCCTGTTTGTTGCTAAGTCTACAGTGCCTAATATAGAGTAGGCATTTGCTAGGTAAGTATTAAAGCAATGAATAAATGAATAAATGAGACGGGAGAGGGGAAATTATTTTCAACTTGAGAAAAAGTCTTTAGATCACCAGTGGAGAGAGAAATTTCATTTGCTATTCAGAGGAAGAGAGAGGTTCATCATGTTGATTTATGGCAGTACTGAGAGTTGAGGTGGGCATGCTTTGGCCTCCCTTAATCTTGATAAGCAACCTGTGCAGTCCCTCCCAATGAGTACACAATCCAAGTTCAGTGCCAGTGCTTACTCTGCAAAGGCAGCATTAAGATGAGACTTTGTTGATACCCATCCCATCCTTCCTGTTGTTACTCAGGCTAAAAACACTGGAGCCATCCTTAACTCCTTTCTTTCTTCTACACCCATCTCAAGGCCATCAGCACAGCTTCCCGGCTTTAGCTTTAAAAAAAATCCAGAATTCACTCACTTCTCACCATCTCTTTCACTACCACTCTGGATCAAGCCACTGCTGTCTGCCACCTGGGACACTGCAAGAGCCTCTTAGATTACTGTAATAGCCTCCTAATCCTAGTTGATCTCCCTCACTCCCCTTCAGTCTGCTCCTGGCAAAATGGCCCAATATATAAGTCATGTCACTTCTCTGCTCAGAACCCTTCGAGATTTCTCATCTTTCTCAAAGTAAAATCCAAAGGCATTGCAATAGCCTGCAAGATCCACTCCACCCCCTCCCATTACCTCTCTAACCGTATCTCCGCTGTGACCATGTAATTTATCACCCAAACCAGGTTACTTTAATTTATTTATTTTGTTTTATTTTATTTTTTTAGAGATGGGTTCTCACTATGTTATCTAGGCTAGATTTGAACTCCTGGGCTCAAGCAATTCTCATGCCTGAGCCTCCTTAGTAGCTAGTACTACAAGCATGTGCTACCATGCCCAATTTCAGGATACTTTTCATAGTGAAAGGAGGCACTATTAATAATTATGTCAGGGCAACAGGCACAAACCTGGAAAATACTGGGCAAACCAGACACCTGTCTACTCCACTCGTCTCCACTCTCCTTTGTGCACTCTGAGCCAGCCATGTGTCCTCGTTACTACTCCTAAAATACTCCAGCCACTCTCCTGTCTCAGGACCTTTGCACGTATTGTCTCCACTGCTCGAAGTTTCTTACCCAAGATGTACATGGGACATGCTCCCTTGCCTTGTTTACCCAAATGTCACTTTCTCAGTGAGATCCTCCCTGACCATCTGATCTAAAATTGCAGCCCTCCCCTTGGCCAGCACGTCCCATTCCCCTTTCCTGCATTATTCTCTACAGCGCTTATTACCCACTAACAGATACTTGACACATTTGCTTTGCTTATTGTCTGTCTCCCCCAGCCCCACAGACTGCTAATAAATTCCATGAAAGCAGAGATTGCAGTAGGTCTTCTACATTAACGTATTCTCAGCATGGGGAACAGTTCCTAGCATATATTAGGTTCTCCATAAATATCTGTTGAACAAATGATTTTTTTTTAAGTTTACCTGTACTCCCAAATAGCTAGCAGCCCATATACCCCTCCTTGCTCAGAAATTCTGAGCAAGTGGCATTTGAACTGGGCCCTACAAGCCACCTTCACCCCGGCGCAGGCAAGGCGGCAGCTGGATTACTCTGCTGGCCACACCCGCGTGCTGGGGTTCCGCGGCAGCTTATTGGCCGGGCAGCCTCCATTGTGAGGTAGCTCTGGTTTCCTCCTCGCCAGAGGCAGACAAGCCCCGAGCCTGAACCACATCCAGGCACCAGGACCTCCAGTCCAATGGTGCCTTCTTCCTCCCAGTCCCACGGTTCACTTTGCCCTACAGCAGCGAGGGCCAAGGTGGAAGAGGCCAAAAGCCCAGGCGAGTCGTGGCGGGTGACGGAGCGATTGCGAGGGGGACTGAGAATCGCTCTGAGATGGGACTCTCCTAAGTCCCCCGTTCGCCAGGTGAGGCGGCAGCAGCAGCAGCTTCTCAAGCGGCCACTGCTGCACTGACTCGCACGCCTCGGGCTTCGCCGTCGGGCGCCCTTGGGAATTAGGAGCTCAGGTCTGCAGCCATGGGTTCTCTGAGCAAACACCCACTGGAGACCCATGCAAGGCCCTAACCCCGAGCCTCGCCACCTAGCCACCTCGCTGAAGATGTCATTGCTTGGAAGGGACTACAGCAGTGGGCTGAACTCCTTGAATGATGGGTCCAAGTCGCTCTCAGAGAACAGCAGCAGCACGACTTCAGAGAACGTCCACCCTGCTGAGGAAGCGGGACTATCGTAAGTGACCGCGCCACCCTTCCAGAACTTACGTCAAGTTAGGGTGGCGCTGCTGCTTTTGCAGCTCTGGACCCCTTCTCTCTCCTTAACACTCTTACCCCACTGAACAGGAGATACACGGACAAAAGACGAAAACTTCAGAGTCTAAGAAGATTGATCCTTATGGCTGTGGGTATTACCTGTGTCCCAGGTTTGCAAAGTAACCCAGCTAGAGCGGCCATCCCCAACCTGAGCTGCCGATTCCAGGATCAGTTTCCTAACTCGGGCTGGCTTCCCTCTCCTCACACATCTGCCATTATTCTCTTTTTCTCCCCCCCCCCAACTCCTCTCCCCTCCCAGATCCATCCAGAAAACAGTCACCTGCCAATCCCATGTCTCTACCTTTACTGCCCCAAACTCAAACACATAGAACTTTTCTCTAGGACTTTACTGTCAATCAGACTGTTATCTACTCAGACAGATAACAGCCATGGGTGTAACAGCCTGTAAATGACAATCTCTAGTGTTGATAAGGGTACCAGGAAATGTCTTCTCCCATGTCCTTTTGGGAAGAATTAAATTGGTACCTTTCTAGATGGCAGTGTTGCATGTCAAATCCTAAAATGCCATTTGAATAAAACATACAAATACTTATTGGGCAAATGCTATCTTTGAAAGTACACACATACACACACACACACACACACACACACACACACACACACACACACCTGACAGCAGTGGCTACCTCTGGGAAAGAGAACTGGGAGATGGAGATACAGAGATAGGAGAGAGATTCATATATATTTCATAAGATTTTTTGGTTGTTTTTGTTTTGTTTTACCCTTTGAATTTTGTGCTCTGAGTGTTCCTACCTAGTTTAAGTATAATTAAATATAAATGAATATATCTTTTGATCAATAATAGCACTTCTAGGAATTTTTCCTAATGAAATAATAGCACAAGTATGCATGATAATTTTTACTGAGGCACTAGTTATAATGTTGAAAATTTAGAAACATTAAGAGAATCATAGGCCAAGCATGGTGGCTCATGCCTGTAATCCTAGGACTCTGGCTAGGATTGCTTGAGGTCAGGAGTTTGAGATTACCCTGAGCAAGAGCGAGACCCTATCTCTACTAAAAATAGAAAAAAAATTAGAGAATGGTTAAAGTATGGTACAAACGTACAATACAATATAGCCAATAAAAGTGATGGAGAAAATCTATAGACATGGAGACTGTGTAGTACACATTATTCATAGGATCCAGCATGTATAGCAGTTCTCCTCGTGTGAAATTCTGTGCATTTATCTAGAAACAAATAGGGATGCCCAGAAGAATATTAATCATAGTCCATGGTTATTTCCAATTGGTGGGATTTTGGAATTTCCTTTTATAATAGCGATGTGTTATTTGTCAAGGAAAAATATAAAGCTAATTTTTTAAAAAGGCCCAGAGGAACTGCCCCACGTGTTTATGCTCCAAGGCCCTGACGTGTAATGCTGTTCGCTAAGGCTCAATGGCTGCTGCAAAACCTTGTCTCACCTTTCCCATGAGATCTGATTCAAGCGGGGCAAGGTGCTATCGTGGGAAAGAAGTGAGAGATGAAGGGAAGGAGGGAAGGAAGCCGGGAGAGAGAGCATGTCTTTTGAAGAAATTACTACTAAAGAATTGACAAAAGGGAAAAAATTAGATTTTTTTTTTGCTTTGACATATTTTTCAATAATTTCAGTTATTAAGAAATAAAATGTATTTCTTGGAAGTGAAGGGACAACAGGTTCCCACCCCCCAACCCCCACTTAGGTGAATTGACTGACCTAATGGAGATGTGGGAAGACACAGAGGTCCCCAGTGGCCTGCCTGTTCTCTCCACCTGACAGTCCCCCAGTTCGATATTGAAATGCAAAGGCCTCGCACAGCCTCCTCCTCAAAGTCCCCAGTCGTGACTCCTTAAGGGATGAGACATAGACACAAGCACTATCTCTGCCGAACTCACTGTGTGACCTTGGGCTGTTGGTTTCCACTCTCCTGGCCACCTCCAGACAGTGTAAGGGTGGCAGAAGAGGTTCTCTGTCTTGGCCGGAGACTTGGACTGCACCTCCAACGGCCTCCTCCAGACACCCTTTTGTTCCAGGTGGAGGGGGCACCTCTACTGGCTTAAACCAGCCCTTGCTTGCCTTTGTTCTACCACCCCAACTCTGCTTCCTCTTCAAGGAGGCTCTTTCCAACAGGTGAGCCCCATGAAGGCCAAATCAAAGATGGTGGCAATGATGATGATGAAGCTCACATCTGTGAAGCACTTCATGATTTCAAGACTCATCATGTCATTTCCTCTTTTGATTCTTACACAGCCATGGGACATAGGCAGGACTAGAATTATTCTTCTTTTTTGGCAGGTGAGGAAACAGGATCTAAGCAGACTTTAAGGGGCTTCCCAAAGTAGTAACCAAACACAGTAGGTTAATGGCAGAGCTAGAACTCAGAATCCAGTGCTCCTGCCTCTGGATTCAGTGCTCTTGCACTCACTTTTCATTCAAGTTCCTTTTTGATTCTGTTCCCATGGTCCTGTTCCCACTGCCCACCCCCAATCGCCATCAGGATGGGAGCTGCCTGGGCAGGAGCTGCCAGCACAGGTATGAGGACCCCTGGTACCCAGCACCCTGCCCCACACGTTGTAAGTACTCTGTGTGCACGTTAGCAATAGCCCTAAATTATTACATTTTATCTAATGAATAGCATGGATATATTACATAGCAATTCATGGATTATATATATTTATATATATAGCAATTCATATTCGCAATGAATATTGGTTGAGCAAATGGATGAAGTGAACTAGAACCAGTAAATATTCCTGTATGTGGTAGAAGATTATTATCTTTTTTTCTAGTGAGTGAGTTAATAAATGACCTGATGCCAATAAATACTCTGTAAATTGAGGCAATTATGACTAATTTTTGTCATTGTCCATCTAAATGGTAGACAATGTAGTATCAGTAAATATTGAGTGAATAAATCATGAAAGAAATCATCAGATCAATTAACAAACCAGCTGGTTTTAGGGAGTTATCCAGAATGCTAGCAATTTTAATGCACTTTTTTCTTTAGAGCCTAGTGTGGATTAAATCTTTCTTGATGCTCCTGAACTCGCACCAGCCCTGGATCCGATGTTCCAGGACAGATCCCTAGAATGGAGAGTTGCCTCCGAGTCCACTTCATCCGGTCTTGTCCCTCTTCCCCAGGTCTTGTGCCTCTTCTCCACAGGCACCGCTGGAGCTGCTGGAATCAGGCTAAGCCCTGGGCCACCCTGCCCTCCCACTAACAGAGCCCTCTTGTCTCCCTGCTCTCCCCACCACAGGCTGCTGCAAACCTTGATCCACCTGCTGAAATGCAACATTGGCACAGGACTCCTGGGGCTTCCCCTGGCCATAAAAAATGCCGGCTTGTTGGTAAGATGCATGTATGGGACAGGAACTAGGCTTACCTCTTTGGGGAAGGGGTTTATGCATCCCAAATGCTTTTGTACTATTTATCAGTGGGCACTTTGGGGGGACCTTCTGCAATAGGAAATGTGCCTGTTGGCATCAAACCGCTGGAGCCAACCTAGGCCTCCCCAGAGCGGGTGGGCCATTGGTCTCAAACACCCACCGTCTCATAGACTCCACTTTGCCCACTGTCCTCCCCTTCCTGTTTCAAAGCATTTGATGGGTCTGCGGCCACCCCGCCCTGACCGCGCCGATCCCGTCCGCCCTCCAAAGCATTTGATGGCACGTGAGAAAGTGGCTTGAATATGAGGATAGATTCCCCCACCAATCCCACACTCTCCCTGCGCCAACCTGTCCCATCTCTTTCGTCTGTTGATCCCAGCTCCCTTGTGAAATTTGCTCCTCTCTAAAACTTTACCCTTCCTTATGAACATGGATGCCGCCATACCTTGTGTTTTTCTACTACTTGTATCTACCTCACCTGGAATTCCTAAAGTACTTGCAAAGATGGGATATATCTGTTTTTTAATAGACCTAGTGTCCTCAGCTCATTGATAGCTCTGAGGGCGAACTGTCTGATTTCCCTTTACATCTCCCCACAGTAGCTGCTGTAGAGATGGGCACACAGCAAGAAGCAATTAAGGTCTATCGAATTGAATTGATACCAAATATATAGTTTTCATGTGGTTGCAGTGAATTTTTTTGCTTCTCTCTAGGCCTGGTAAGTGACACCATGCCTAAAGAAGGCAAAACAAGACCCTTGCTTCCTCTGACATGACTTCTGATCTTTAGTAGTTCTAATCCAGAAATGGGACTCTCCCCTTTGGAAAACTCTGGGTTCTAGAACTTCTGCAGAAGACATAGCCTTTAGCCAAACTCTCTTTGCCAGTGTGGTATTTGCTTTTTAAGACAGTTCTTGTATCCTTTGATTTTTGCTTCCTAAGAGGCATTTGATGATTTTCTTTACCTTCCATTTCCCACCAGAACCTCTGACCATGATTTATTTGAAAAATATCTATCGAGTACCTACTATGTGCACTCTTAGGCCCTAAGAGTATAGAAGTAAACAAGACAAGAAAGTGTCTGCCACATGGAGGCTACATTCTGGTGGAATCTAGTGGTGCTCTTGATCGCTCGTTTGTTTCTTTGTGATAGGTCACATCTATAAAGACATGAGTGTCCAGAAAAAAGGAGGTGAGAGAGACCTTCTTTACTCTATACCCTTCTGATCACATCTGGAAGATTATGATTAATAATCAGCCCTACTTTTTAAAATGAATATTGACAAATTAGATGCACTAGAAATGATTCTCAACTTGGGATAATTTTTTGCCCCACCGCAGGACATTTACAATGTCTAGAGACATTTTTGGTTGTCACAACCTGGGGGTGGGGGACATAGACACCTAGTGGGTAGAGGCCCAGGGATGCTGCCAAGTATCTTACATTGCACAGGACAGCTCCTTACAACAAAGAATCACCTGCCCCCAAATGTCCATAGTTCCACTGTTGATAAACGCTGTACTAGAGGAAGAGAACTAAGTCACAAGAGGAACCTTGGTCTTCAAGCATCTTGGTGGAGATGAAGACTAGGGTGTGTACAAGGAATTTACCATGGAGGGACTCTAAAAGGGTAGCTGTGGCAGATAAGAAAATGCATGGGCTGTGTGGGGATGTAGTGAGCTCTCTGTCACTGGAGTTATTCTAGCAGAGGTCAAGCAGCCACTTTATAGCGATTGGCTAAGAAGGGTATTCAAACCCTACTATCTCGGGGCACGAGGACATTCAGACAGGGTCTCTCATCCACAGACAGCTTTATTATGGGAGGGGCTGCAGCACTTGGACTAGGAGAGGGCCAGGGTATGGGAATGTTCAGTATGTATCTCACTGTCCCTGTCTCTCCTCTCCCTCCAGGTCGGTCCCATCAGCATGCTGGCCATTGGGATCCTCACAGTGCACTGCATGGTCATCCTGCTGAACTGTGCTCACCACCTCAGTCAGAGGTGAGAGTCCTGCTTCTCTCTCATCCCAGAACTGGGACCCCCTCCAAGGGTGTGTTCAGTTTCTTTTGACCATTGACCCAAGTAACTTGGCCACTTCTCCAGGCCACCACCCCGCCACTCTGGATTCTATGGAGGTGTCGGAGGGGGTGAGAAAGAATCCCAATTGGAGAGTCTAGGTGGAAATCCAGCTCTGCTGCTTACAAGTGGAGTGACTGTGTCAATTCTCTGTACCCCTCTGAGCCTAAATCTCCTTACCTGAGAGCATCAAAGTGATAAAAGATAAAAGTCCTCTGTAGGCCTGGTGTGGTGGCTCACGTCTGTAATCCTGGTACTCCGCTTGAGCTCAGGAGTTGGAGACCAGCCTGAGCAAGAGCGAGACCTCGTCTCTACCAAAAATAGAAAAATTAGCCGGGCGTCATGGTGCACGCCTGTACTTGGGAGGCTGAGGTGGGAGTATCACTTGAGCCCAGGAGTTTAAGGCTATGATGACTTCACTGCACTCCACCAGGGACGACAAAGCAAGATTCTGTCTTAAAAAGAAAAAAACCCAAAAAGTACTATGTAAACTGTTGTATATATGTGTGAGATAGTTAGAGACATGCTTCTTTTCGTTTTAATCTCCCCACCTCCAACTTCCCCCCAGCCCAATACGGACCCCTTCTCAGGGTAATTTGTTCCAGGCAAACTCCTTTCGGAAAAATTTAGTAATAGTAAAAAACATACTTTGCAATAAAAAGAAAAGTTTACAATGACTTCAGTCATTAACAAAACACATATAATACTCCATGTTTATGTATTTGAAACTTTAATTCAAAAACAACTTTAGAAAGAAAAGACAGATGCAATGAAGACAAAGAATGCTGAGATGCCCAGGGCTCAGCTGCTCCCCAGGCGTGCAAATCCAAGTAGGTCCCTGGAAACGTGAAGAAAGCCCTCAAAAATCAAAATAGGGATAGTAAATGAAACTCCTCCTAAAGCCAAATTATCATGATTCAAATAGGTGTATCTGGAGTATGCATCAGTCACACCTAACTTTCGGAGCACTTTCCAGCTCACAAAACACTTTTAAGAGCATTTCCTCACGCAGCAGTTAAATTTATTATGCAAAGACACTGTGCCCGGTGACCGCGCCAAGAGCTTTGCAAGCCTTCTTTACTCCTTACGGTAATTATGCCTCCGTGGTTGGTGCTATTTTCAGTCCCATTTTACAGAATTGAGGCTTAAGTGCTTGCCCAAGGTCACGCAGCTGTGAACTGGCAGAGCCGGTATTCAAAGACCTATCTGACTCCACTCTTAACCATTTTGCAAAGCTTCTCTTCCCTACTGGGATCGTTATATCGCCACGTAGGCGTCTGACACCTGGCCATTCCTGACAGCCCTTCTCTGATTTGTTTCTGATGACTAGTCTTTCATTTTTCTCAAATGCACAGGTTTCAGAATGATGCCTAAGAGCTGGCTATGGCCTTCAGTTATGTTTTAGGTGACTTCCACAGTTTTGTTTTGTTTTTTAGCCAACGTTTAAAAATCTGGAGATTTCACATTTTAAAAAAAACCAAACCTCTGCCTTCTCCTTGAGACAGTCTGGCCCTCTGGGCCTTTATTCCTTTAATGTTCTTCTGGTGGCAAGTCCGATCAACCTCTTTTAGAACGGGGTGTGTGCTCTGGTTTGCCACAGTCTCCACTACTCCCTACTGTGTCTTACGCCCAGCCCCTGTCACCCACCAGGTCACCAGTTTCAGTCTGATCCCATAGCTTTTGAATTTGCAACCCTCGGAGTAATATACTAGCCAGTCCTATGCAAGGTGACCTCATTTGTATTGCACATGCCTGCTGCGGTAAGCAGTAATAAAAATGCCACACTCCCAACACTGCTCCATATCCATCTCTCGCTGTCTCCTCCCCAAAACCCAGCCTGCATGTGAAAATACTGAGGCCCAGAAATCTAGAGAGACTCACTCAACGTCTCCAGCTATGGGCATATGGGATTGAAACCCTGCTATCCTAACAAGTCTGGGGCCCTTTCTCTCTTTCCACTTCTCCCCTCAGTCCAGCAATTAACAACGTGCATTCAGGACCTCAGCAACGTGCTGCTACTCCCACTCGCTCCTGCCACCGATGGCAGGGCCTACAGCAGGGCCTGCCCCACCCTTGGAAAAGGTCACCTAGGAAGAAGGACAAGGGAAGAGGGACAGGCTGAAACTTGGGCGTCACATCGTATAAGGCTGCTGGGCAGGAGCCTGAGTATCACCTGTGCATGGGATCTGGTCCAAGGCAGACATCTCGAATGTTCTGACACCTCCCCAGTGGGAAGGATGAAATGTAAATCCAGAAAAGATAAAATCATGGGCTTGGCCACACCCACAATGCCCCTTCCCCCAGCAGGTCCCCTCACACCTCCTCCCACCACCATATCTCCTCTTTCCTGCTTTACATTTCTAAATCAATGCACAGTTACTATTTACTCAAAAAGAACAAATCCAATGATATCCACTTAAATATCTGTGCTTAAAAAGATACCCACAAGAAAAGAAAAAAAGGCAAACTTTCTTGAAAGTTGTTAAAGTATAAAATATACCATTGCTAGAAAATTAACAGAACACTCCATGCTAACATACAAATATATAATAATGACTTACTCTGGGAGTAAATTGTACCTTTAACAAAAATGTTTTAAGTTACACGTTGTCGTCCTTTCCCCCTAGACTGCAAAAGACTTTTGTGAACTATGGAGAGGCCACGATGTACAGCCTTGAATCCTGCCCAAACACCTGGCTGAGGACACACTCCGTGTGGGGGAGGTAGTAGAAAAATAGCAATCGTAATCCTCACCAGCTCTTCCTTTATTTCTAGTTACCCAGGTTTGAAATGAATATGTTCTTATTGTAAACTATCAAACACAACATAGAGACTCCTCCCAATAGCCCGTCCCCATCCCACTCTTTCTAATCATTGATATCTAGTTAGTAAATATTCCTCTAGACGTTTTTTTCCTATGTGTACATCAATACATGTATGTGAATGGAAGTATATAATTTCTTTTATATTTTCTTATATGTTACTTGGAATAATTTCTGGAAAATTGTTTTTTCATCTGACAATATAATATGTCCCTAATTTTTTTCCACATTGGGACATATACACCTACCTCATTATTTTTTAAGGCTCACAATGTTCCCTAGTGTGAATGTACACCACAGTTTTATTTGATTATTCCCCTGGTGGTGAACATTCAGGTTGTTACCTTGCTCGATAAAAAGTTAATGGTGAGGGGGGAGGAGGGGGCAAGGGCAACATACGTAACCTAAACATCTGTACCCCCATAATATGCTGAAATTAAAAAAAAAAAAAAAAGAAAAAAAAAAGTTAATGGTGGGCCGGGCACAGTGGCTCACGCCTGTAATCCTAGCACTTTGGGAGGCCGAGGCGGGCGGATCGCTCAAGGTCGGGAGTTCGAGAGCAGCCTGAGCAAGAAGCCTGAGCAAGAGCGAGACCTCGTCTCTACCAAAAATAGAAAAATTAGCCGGGCGTCATGGTGCACGCCTGTACTTGGGAGGCTGAGGTGGGAGTATCGCTTGAGCCCAGGAGTTTGAGATTGCTGTGAGCTAAGCTGACACCACGGCACTCTAGCCCGGGCAACAGAATGAGACTCTGTCTCAAAAAAAAAAAAAAAAAGTTAATGGTGTACAAAATGGTTTTCTCTGTCTTAGCTTCTCAGATCATCTCAACAACCTTGTGAGGTAGGCAGGGTGGGTTGTTATTGTCCTGGAAATATGAGGTGACCCAAAGGCATAGACGTTGATAGTGGTGGAGCAGAGATTTGACCAAGAACCTAACACTGCACTCTTTCTTGGCAAAGTCCTTTGAGAGGCAGTGAGTCCCTCTTATGGCTGCTAAGATCCCTTCTGCAGCTCCTCTCCTGGGATGGGTTCTCAGTAGGTCATTGATCTCCTGATAGGAGCCACTCTAATGGTCAAACCAGTGAGGTCATGTGACAGAAATAATGGATGCCTTACAATAATGGATGGCTTATCAATTTTCATGACACCCTGAATAAATATTTAAGGCATGAAGGGCCCTTACAGATCACTATATTCATGCCTGCTCAGATGGAGAAAAATGAAACTCAGAGAGGACAATAAAGTTGTTCAGGATCACACAGGAATTTAGAGGTAAAGCAAGGACTGGCACCCAGCATCTAGCTCCCACCATGACACTGGAAGTTCAGAGACTGAGAAAGAGTTGGAAACATTTTATTTAAACTAATGATCTATCATTTTTAATGTACTAAGAGATACCTAGGGAGCTTGCTTAAAAACTGCCCATTCCATGTAGGCAATAATCGTTAAAGGATGCTCAAGATGTTAGATGAAAGGTCATTGGGAAACTTTATAAAGCAAGAAGGCACCAATACCACCTGACCTCATGTACTCATCTTGGCATCTCACGTTTAGACAGGCAGGACAGCCAGACATGGTGTATCTCACAATGGGATACAGTAGGGAGTACAGAGTACCACCTCTGAAATATTCTTGCTAGAAAACAAAGAATCTCCACCTAATCAAGCCACTAGATCTAGTATTTGTTTACAGGCAACACAGGGCATAGAGGAATAAGATAAATGATGTCATGAGGAAGTCATCAACCAAATCTGAAAAATAGGATATACTGCAGAACAAATAGTCTGGTATCCTCAGTAACACCAAGAAATAAAAAGTTGCAAGGAGAAAAGAAAACAGGGAAAGGGGAATATAGCAGTTTTAAAAATTTGAGAGACTTAACAAAATGTAATATATAGACTTTTTTGGAAACCAGCTATAAGATAGATATTTTGGAGACCGATTTGAGAAATCTGGATATGAACTAAATATTAGATGACATAAATAAATTGCTGTTAATTTGATAAAGGATAATAATGGTCTGATGATTATCCTTTTTAAATTCTTATCCATTAGGGCTTCATACTGAGTTATTTATAGGGGAAATTATTTGAGGTCTTTGGTTTGCTACAAATACTCTGACAAATTAAGTATGTGTGTGGTAGAGATAAAGAGATGGATAGAAGGAGATTGGCAAAAAGTTAATAACTGTTGAAACTAGAGATTCATTAAATTATTCTTATTGCTTGTGTATATATGTGAAAAGCTCCATAATAAAGACAGAAGAAAACCAATGATCTGAAGTTTCATGTGACACCTCCCAGATTCTGACACAATAGGCTGATATGAGAACCAGGAGTTTGTATTTTTGACTTAACACCTCAACCAACAAATTGGTTGGTACCGCAACCCAATTTTGAAAAACACTGATCTAAATAATTAGAATCTAAACATTAGATCTAAACATTAGAATCTAAGTAAAGGAACATATTTCTGTTCCCTTAAAAAAATAAACACATCTCCAAATTTGGAACACTAAGAATCCAAAAGAATAATGACAATAGCAGAGTATAAGATATTAAATTTTTAAAATAATTAATAATTCTATCATGATACCAAAAGAAAGAGAAGGGAAGAAAATCCGTCTCCTAAATGCCAGCTAATACATTTAGAAGAAATGACAGATAGAATTAGAAAATCACCACCTTGCAGCCACTGATGAAATAATTGATTCAGGCAATGAATGTTAAAACCATTGTTTTGAGGGAAATAGGATACTCCTGCCATCTTAAAGTTTTACCCCATAGATTACAAAGGAAAACGTACATTTACGATGGAGAGAACTGGTAGTCACCACTGTAGTAGAACAGCAGGACCTCATGTGCCTTCCCATATGATGAAATAGAGGTGCAAAACATCACCTCTTAGTGAATTTCATCATGAGGAAGCAATCGTGCAAGTCCACGATGTGGGGCATTCTACAAGACAATTGGCTTGGACTCTTCAAAAAAAGCCACTAACATGAAAAACACAAAAAGATAGATATATGTGGGGCTGTTCCACGTAAAAAAAAAAAAAAAAAAAAGACTAAAGAGATATGGCCAAATGCAATATACAACACTTCATTAAATCCTGAATTAAAAAAAAGCAGCTACAAAAGATATTTTGGAGAGAATTGGGGTAGTACTATGCCATTTTATATAAGGGACTTGAACATCTTCAGGTTTTGGTATCCACAGGGGGTGGGGTGGTCCTAGAACCAATGTCCTACAGATAACAAAGGGCGACTGTATTTCTTAATAAAATAGGGACTGTATATTTGAGGATATTAATGTTGATTTTCTGGCTATCGTAGTCTTAAGAGAGACATGCTGAGGTATTTAGGGCTGAAGTGTTATGATATCTGCAAATGACTTGCAAATGATTCTGAAAAACAAGTGCGTGCGTGTGTGTGTGTGTGTGTGTGTATGTTTGTGTATGTGTGGATGGTTGAATGAACACATACATACAAACATACCTACATAATGCAATTTGGGGCAAAAAATTAACAATTGATATATTTACTTAAAGAGTATATGGTTGTTAATTATACTATTTTTTTTGACTTTTTCTATAGGCTTTAAAATGTTCAAAATAAGAAAAATAAAACATAATATCAACAGAAATAATCATTTCAAAAAGTAAACACATTCAAAAAAGATAATTGTAATGTTTGTTTTCTCCTTTTGTTTTACCTCTTCTTTTCCTTCCCAGGTACACCGTCAGCTTCTTATTAATCATCACGCAGCTGGGCTTCTGCAGTGTTTATTTTATGTTTATGGCAGATAATTTACAACAGGTAAAGAGGCCAGTCCTGGGCAGAGTGGTAGAAAGGCAGACCTCCGGCTCCTAGGGCTACATTAGCAAAAGTATAGTCTTCAGATCATGGGAGGAGACAGCTTCATTTCTACCCCTGGATGAGACCACACTTGGAAGTTCTCTCAGTCCCAAGAATCACATTTTTAAAAAGATCATTGAGGAGCCAAAGTAATTTCTGAAAAATGTAACCAGGGTAGAGAGAGAGGCTTGTAATCATGACCAATCAGAAATAACTGAGAATCTCTAGCCTGAAAAGCATTGGTGAAATTTAAGCATCTCAAGGTGTTCATGTAGAAGATGCCTAACTAAATATATGGCAAGCAACCTGCAACCTTCCCCTCACTGCATTCCCAATAGACATTATAAATCAATCACAGCATTCTTTCTTGGCTTTGTGGAATAGAGGAGCTTACTTGTTTCCATGCACCCAAATAGCCAGAAAGAACTATGACAAGTATTGCAGATAGAATATTCAAGCAGATGGAATTTTTTTCCAAATTACAGGTCTTTATTTTATTTTTTAGCTTTCTACATTGATATATAATAGTTGTACTTATTTATGGTGATATTTTGATACATGTTATACAATGCATAATGATCAAATCAAGTTAATTGGGATATCCATCACCTCAAACATTTATCATGTCTTTGTGTTGGAAACATTCCAAATCTTCTTTTCTAGTTATTTTGAAATATACAATAAATTATTGTTAACTACAGTTGCCCTACTGTGGCTGCCAAACACAGGAACTTAGTCTTTCTAACTGTATTTTTCTACCCATTAACCAACCTCTCTTGGATAAAGAAAATGTGGTATATATGTACAATGTAATATTGTTCAGCCATAAAAAAGAAAGAAATCTTGTCATTTGCAGCAATGTAGATGGAACTGGAGGACATTATGTTAAGTGAAACAGTCAAGAACAGAAAGACAGATATTGCATGTTCTCACATGTGGAAGCTAAAAAAATTGATCTCATGGAGGTAGTAGGTAGAATCAAGTAGATAGATTTTGTTCAGTATGTAGAGCTTTCCAATGTTTAGGACTATTTAAAGTTAAAGAGGATATTCTTGTGTAATAAATTCCCTTTCTTTGGACATATGAAAGAAAAATTTGGTGAGGAAGAAGAGGTTAGGCCAGATGACAAAGGGACCCTTCAGCCTTGGGCCTTTATGATTCTAAGGCTTTCTGGTTGTCACAGTCATGGGCATTACAGTTAGGGTTGCCAAATTTGGCAAATAAAAGTAGGTGACACCCAGTTAAATTTGAATTTCAGATAAGTAGTGAATAATATTATTTTTACTGTATGTCCTATGCAATGTTGGGGACATATTGATACTAAGAAGTTATGTCAATCATCTGAAATTCAAATTCCATTAGTGTCTTGTGCTTTATCTGGCCGCCCTAACTATACCACCTTTCATTATGCTACATATCAGATGGTGGAAGAAGCCCACGTGACCTCCAACAACTGCCAACCCAGGAAGAACCTGGTGCTGACTCCCATTCTGGACATTCGTTTCTACATGCTGGCAATCCTGCCCTTCCTGGTCCTGTTGGTGTTCATCCAGAACCTCAAGGTGCTGTCCATCTTCTCGACATTGGCCAACATCACCACCCTGGGGAGCATGGCTCTCATCTTTGAGTATATCATACAGGTCTGTGCCTGAAACCACAGCAGAAGGGGGTCGGGGTCCCGAGTCTCAGAAACGCCTGAGGAGGGTCATTAGCAGGATGGGCAGGTGAAGATGAAGAAGGGAATCCCCTGCTCTGATCAGCCTCTGCCAATATGACATCTAGGAACACTTCTGCCCCACAAGCTATAAAAGCTAATCATCACCCATCATCATCCAAAGATTTGCGATCAAAGCCAATGCCCTTGTCCTACTGTGTTTCAGGGGATTCCGTATCCCAGCAACCTACCTCTGATGGCGAACTGGAAGACCTTCTTGCTGTTCTTTGGTACAGCCATCTTCACATTCGAAGGCGTCGGTATGGTAAGATCGATGGGGTCTCAGTGAACAGTCCCTAAGTGCTCTGTAGAGTGGCCGATTTTGGCTCCAGATTTCTAAATAAATAGTATCTATGAAAAGTGCAGAACATGATCTCCTGGTAGAGGGGAAGTCAGAGCCCACACACAGGTGCCTGCTGCTCCATGCCCCACGCTAAGCCGTGAAGACCGAGTGAGAATTCACTCGTCAGCCTAGGTGGAGCAGGGCATTCCTGGAAACAGCCAACATGAGAGAAAATGAAAGGGAGCCCCATCCTGTGAAGAGGCCCCTTCCTGACCCTGGGCCCATGTGGAGAGCGACGTCTGTGCTTGTGGGGGACCCTGCTCCTTCACAAGGGGCCACATTTCCACCTTGTCTCCCCCAAACTCTTTTCACCCCCAGGTTCTGCCTCTCAAAAACCAGATGAAGGACCCACAGCAGTTTTCCTTTGTTCTGTACTTGGGGATGTCCCTTGTCATCAGCCTCTATATCTGCCTGGGGACACTGGGCTATATGAAGTTCGGGTCAGACACCCAGGCCAGCATCACCCTCAACTTGCCCAATTGCTGGTACGTCCCTGCCCTCCTCGGCTCGGGATGGGGAGAGGCGTGGGACCTGAGCCTGAGCAGCAGAGTGGGGCATTCCCTCGGGTTATCATTACCAATAAATATTTACTGTTAGTAGTAGTATTCATTACAGCAACAGGTAAGTTTGATAATCTAGGCACTGTGCATTACTTCAATTAATTCTTACAATATGGTGATACTGTAAGTGACTAAGCAATCAGTATAGCCAAGAGTTTAAGAGCGAAGGTTCTAAAGCTAACTAATGGGGTTTGCACCCTGGTTCTTATGTGACCTTGAGCAAGCTATCTAATATTGTAGACCTCATGTCCATCCTCGTCAGTGTGATGAGGATAATACTAATGCCCATTTGTATCAGTCAGGACAGGCGAGGTTACGCTCCAATAATCGATAAGTCCGAAATCTCAGTGGCTGGACATACCAGTGCTTAATCCTGTGCTCATGCCTCATGCCCATTATGGCGTGGCTGGGGTGAAGCTACGCACCATCCCCACTCCAGGGCCAGCCACTCTCTAAAGTGTTGCCGGCTGCCAAGGCAGTGAGCACAGTGAGTCCTGCCCTTTCCCATGAAGCTGGTAAAGCCGCCTTGGAAGTGACATACATCCCTCCTGTTCACACTTCATCGGTCAAAGCAAGTCACATGGCCACACCTCACTCCGAGGGGTCAGGGAAGTGCAATGCCACCACTTCCTAGAAGTATTTGGTGGACAGCACAAATGACCGCCACGCTACCTCATGAAGTGACTGTGAGGATTAATTGGTTTAATTGACGGCAAATGCTTGGGAAAGTGCCTGGCACATGGTAGGCACTCACTGAGTGTTAGCTATCATCGCTGTTACTGTCCCCGCAGCCTTTGTCTTTCTGAGGTGAGTAGGATGCTAGGGCATTCATTTCCCTCAAAGCCAGAGCTGCAGAATGAGAAAAATGCCACCAGCCCCGCCCACGTCATTGTGTTGTGGTAAAGACTAGATGAGATCATAAACATGGCATTCCTTTGAAGTTGAACCTTTACACCAGTAAGACATCATCCGAATACGTTGTTCTTATTCTGCGCGAGTTGGGCTGCCTCTGGCAACCTGGGGCAGGGCACTTTCCTTCCCGGGACCTCAGCTAGAAAATGAGGGCGTTGAACTCCGTCAGGACTTCACACCTCTTGGTGTGAACCTGGCTGGTCATCAGGTTCTTCAGGGGAGCCTTAAACAAATATCTCTTCCCAATAAGATTAAAGGCCAACAACCCAAGAAGAAATGGGCAAAGAGCATGATCAAACAGTTCTCAGGCAAATGAAAAAGTGGATGGCCAGATGGCCAGATAGAAAGATGCTTGAAAATATAATAGAAATGGAGTTTAAAAAATCCAATAGCAAAGACCAGCATACCCTCGCACGCTGTTTGGCAAGGATGTGGGGAAGCAGGTCCTTTCATATACTAGGACAACAAATGAGCAGTATGTCAGTAGCTATCAAAATTTAAAATCACATAGACTTGTACCCAGCATTTTTACTTCTGAGGTTGTATAACATATGTGCATAGATATATGTACAAGTGTATTCTTTGCAGCATTGTTTGCTTGGAACAAAGACTAGGCATAATCTAAATATCCATTAACTGGTGATCAATTAAAAAAGTTACAGTATATCTATGCAATTGGAATACCAAACAGCTACTAAATAGAAGAGCCAGATCTGTGTGTACTGGCAGGGAACAATCTTCAAGAAATATTGGATGAAGGAAAAAAAAGGAGTTCAACAGTGTATAGAGGAATGATGCAATGCATGTGTGTATGCACGTAAGTGTGTGTATTCACGTGTGTGTGCATGTGCACCTGTGTGTGTTCTTACATTCTGTGTAAGCTTGTACTTACACGAATTATTTCTGGGCTGGGCGTGGTGGCTCATGCCTGTAATCCTAGCACTCTGCGAGGCCGAGGCAGGAGGATTGCTTGAGCTCAGGAGTTTGAGACCGGCCTGAGCAAGAGCAAGACCCCGTCTCTACTATAAATAGAAAGAAATTAGCCAAACAACTAAAAATAGAAAAAATTAGCCGTGCACGGTGGCACGTGCCTGTAGTCCCAGCTACCTGGGAGGCTGAGGCAGGAGGATCGCTTGAGCCCAGGAGTTTGAGGTTGCTGTGAGTTAGGCTGATGCCGCGGCACTCTAGCCCGGGCAACAGATTGAGATTCTGTCTCAAAAACAAACAACAAAAAAAAACTATTTCTGGAAGGGCCACAGGAAAGCTCTGAGTGATTGCCTATGGAAAGGGGAGCTGGAGACTAGAAATTAAGGTGGGAAGGATGCTTTTCACTGCATGACTTTTGTACTGTAAATTTTATTCTATGTAGATTTTACCTTTTTAAAATATTAAAAGAAAAGAAAACCATGGATAGATTCCTGGGCCACAGGTCTACTAACTCAGAATCTCCAAGAATGTATAGTTTTAATAAGCTTCCCTGGTAGCCCTGGTGGCCAGTCTGGCCTGAGTCATTGGACACTAGTCAATTCTATAACTCAATAACAAGTACAGGTTGAGTATTCCTTATCTGAAATGCTTGGGACCAGAAGTGTTTCAGATTTTGGATTGTTTTGGATTTTGGAATCTTTGCATTGTATTTACTGATTCACATCCCTAATCTGAAAATCTGAAATCTGAAATGCTCCAGTGAGTATTTTTCTTTGTGTGTCATGTCAGCGCTAAAAAAGTTTAAGATTTTGGAGCATTTCTGATTTTGGCTTTTCGGATTAGGGGTACTCCACCTGTAACAGCTTCTGAACAATGAGTGAATCCTGAATGGCTCTTCTGGGGACCCACGTGACATTTCGCATCCCATCCATCTGTCTGCAGGTTGTACCAGTCTGCGAAGCTGATGTACTCCGTTGGCATCTTCTTCACCTATGCCCTCCAGTTCCACGTCCCGGCCGAGATCATCATCCCATTCGCCATCTCCCAGGTGTCAGAGAACTGGGCACTGTTTGTAGACCTGTCTGTCCGCACAGCCTTGGTCTGTCTGACCTGTGAGTAGGATAAAAGGGCACTCTTTGCCCAAAGCTATGACAGGAAATCACACTGGTGCCCATCCCACCATCATTGGCTCAGCCACTAGCCTTCTTTGTGACCTAGGGCAAGATACTTCATCTCCCTGGATATTGATTTTTCCACTTGAAGTGGGGCTTAACAGAACTACCACGCAGTAATGTCACAGTAATCTCTACTGACTACACATAGAAAGGATACACTGACTGGCTTATGGGACAAATAAATATCATTCATTTAATCACCCTTCTATATGGCAAGCACTGTGCTGACATTATCTAATCATCTAATACTCATGACTGCCTAGCAATGTAATGTTACCAACTGAGGGAACTGTGACCCCGACAAATTAAGTAACATGCCCAAGTCATACATGCTAAGTGACAGAGCTGGGATTTGAACATGGGTTGTGTAGCACCAAAGCCTATGTTTTCCATTGTGCCATATTCCTTCCTATTGTTAATTCTGAACGAGTCCCCTATTATAAAGTAGTGTTTAACTGTAGGGAAAAACCCCAAGGGGCTGATCATTTTTGGGGTGCACTCTTTTCTCCTCCTTTCCTCTCTCCCTCCCTCCCTTTCTTCATGCTCCCTTCCATTCATTCCGTCACTCATTCGTGGGAGCCATTGTAGGTGTTTGGGAAACATTATGAACAGGGCTGGGAAATTCATTCTTTGGAGCATGTCCAGACATGGAGAATCCAGAAAAGGTGCCCCATGAGGCCGGGTGCGGTGGCTCACGCCTGTAATCCTAGCACTCTGGGAGGCCAAGGCGGGCAGATTGTTTGAGCTCAGGAGTTTGAGACCAGCCGGAGCAAGAGCGAGACCCCGTCTCTACTAAAAATACAAAGAAATTAATCAGACAACTGAAAATATATAGAAAAAATTAGCCGGGCATGGTGGCACATGCCTGTAGTCCCAGCTACTTGGGAGGCTGAGGCAGAAGGATTGCTTGAGCCCAGGAATTTGAGGTTGCTGTGAGCTAGGCTGATGCCATGGCACTCTAGCCCGGGCAAAAAAGAGTGAAACTCTGTCTCGAAAAAAAAAAAAAGAAAAGGTGCCCCATGAGGATAAGAGTCAAGCACTTATTGGGCACCTACAGTGTGCCAAGTTCTTCCCTATACATGAGAGGGAGCATAGTAGAGTGGAAAGGACATTAGATCAAGCATCCCAGTGGAGTCTCATCTCAGCCCTATGTGAACTTGAGCAAGTCCTGTTTCCTCTAGAGCTTGAAATGTCCCCATATCTACAGTGAGGAGGTTATGATAGGTAAGTGGTAGAGGAGCCCTTTCAATAAAGATTATATATGAAAAATCCAATATACAAAATATAAAAAGAGAGCACGTGTGTTGGTGGTTAAAACAGAGGTGGGCGTTCAGCACTGCATTGCCTGATCTACCGCTCGAGCCTGTTCAAGACTGTTCGAGCAGTATCTCAGGCATCTGTGGAATTCTAGGGCTCCAAAACAGTGGTTTATTTCTGAGCTCCCTTTTTGCAGGGACATTCAGTAATTCTAAATTTCTCTTCTGATCACAGGTGTCTCAGCCATCCTCATCCCCCACCTAGACCTGGTCATCTCCCTGGTGGGCTCTGTGAGCAGCAGCGTCCTGGCCCTCATCATCCCGCCCCTCCTGGAGATCATCACCTTTTACTCTGAGGACATGAGCTGTGTCACCATTGCCAAGGACATCATGATCAGCATCCTGGGCCTTTTGGGGTGTATATTTGGGACATACCAAGCCCTCTATGATTTGACCCAGCCCATCAACCATTCCGTGGCCAACTCCACAGGTGTCTATGCATAACTGTCTATTTTTATTCTTACGGCTCTGCCTTCCTCCCACCCCCAGTTTGACTTCCCTGTGGATGTTGTAGACCTTCAGCAAACCCTCCCATCTCTATATTAACTAGTGGCATCTTTTTATCTTTCCAAGAGGAGCATAGATAACACAAGTTAGTACTAATGCCTCTCAGGCTCTGCCTTTTTTGGTTTTGGTTTTCTTTTCTTTTTTGTACCTCTGAACCAAATCACATTCAATCATTTGTATTATCAGCCTCGTTTAATGGAAAAGGGATGTCATTCACCCCTATCTTCCTGGAAACAGGGAACAAGCATAAATGCAAAAGAAATTGTTTTCTCTGTACTGCAGTAGCTGCCCTTAACGCATCAGATTTAGAAAAGTGTATATTACGGGAAGGGAGTTTCCTATTTAGGTATTCTAAATGAGAGAATCACAGGCAGAACAAAACCAGAACTTAGCAGTAACTTTGTCCAGCCGCTGCCTCTGCCACTGATTGCCTATGGGACCTTGGGCAAATTGCTCCTCCTCTCTCAGTCTTAGCTTCTTTGCCTATAAGTGAAGGGTTGAGCTAATTGATTATTAAGGGCTCTGTCAACTCTGACATTCTGAAAGTGAAAAAAAGAAGTTAATTTATTTTCCAACCACAAAGACTAACCGTGCTAGAGTTGGTAAGGATGTGGAGTAACTGAAACTCCATGTGCTGCTACTATGAATGGAAAATGGTGCAACAGTTTGTAGTTTCTTTAAAAGTTAGACATATACCTACTGTATGATCCAACTATTCCACTTTAAGATATTTAACTGAAAAAAGAAAATATATACCCATAAAAAGACTTGTACACAAATGTCCATGGTAACTTTATTTGTAATAGCAAAAAAATGGGAAACAAAGTAAATGTCTATCAGCAGGTGAATGGATAAATAAACTGTGGATATCCATACACTGGAATACTACTCAGCAATGGACAGAAAAAAACTGTTAATGCACACAATAAAATGGATAAATGTCAAAATAACTA